CGGGTCATGCTGCCTCCTACCTGGCCCTTGATAGAGGTGGCGGACTCCATCACAACTCAAGAGGGATGGAACTGTCAGCTGTTGGTCTGAAGTGAGTGCGTCTGTGGGGAAGGCACCATTACCTTCGTGGGGCAGAGCGTTCCAGGCCGCACTATGGGTCAGGTGCAGCAGTTGGCAGCACACGTAGCGACAGATGGCCGTGACAGGGGAGGGGACTGGAGATGCTGGTGGCGTGGGCAGGAGAGGCAACAGAGCAGTCTGCTGTCCAGAGTGACAGCCTGCATATGGATAAGATATGAGATAATTAATTTTTAAGAAGAAATAAAAGGAAACAGAGCTCACAGCACCTGTCCTGCTCTAGCCAATGCACATCCACATGGGTCTCTGCATCATCAGCAAGAGGAGATGATTCTGTGTGGAGGCCTGGCTATCCTCTGTGTTACATACAGCTGTGAAGCCCTTTATCTGCTGATGGACCCCATTGTTGGTGGCTGGTGCTCGGCTCTCATGTAAGCAAGCAATTTCAAAAATAAATAAATAAATAAAGAGAGTGTGCGACGTGCAGAGTTTACTGGCAGGAGCCAGCTGGAGACTGCAGCACATGAAAGATGCATGGCAGCAAACAAAGCCATGCGTTAACCCAGGCTAGCAGGGAGGGTGCAGCCAGAGGAAGCCTCGAAGGTGGAACTACTTCAAATGGTGCCGGAGAACCTCCCAGTGGCGGAGGGCGCCCGCTCTACCAGTGCCTGAAGTCCCACCAAAGTTGCAAGAATCAGGAAGTGCTGGCAGCAGAGCCACAGACAACAGGGACAACTGAGCTGCTGGGGTGCTGGTCAGCCAGGGCAGCCACACACTCAGGGATATGGAGACACAATGGTGTCACTGCATAACATCCCACAGTGAGCCCAGGCTGTATTCTGTGGGGCACCCAGGACAAGTTGCCCTCCTGACCCATATATACCTGCCCCTCAGGCAGCACAGCCATTGGGTGATGTGGGCTTGTGAGAATCCCTTGCTCTGGGCCTGGAGAAGGTACAGGGGTCTCCTGTTGTGTGGGAAGTTCTGCATGGCCTGCGGGACACCTACCCCGCGCTGCGCTTGCCGGGATGGGTGCCATTACTGCTGACACCTGTCTGCTGATCTTGGCAGCAACATGAGGGTTGGTGTCCAGCCCAGAGAGGTCTCCTCATGTGCTAGTTGGATGAAAGGAAGGAATGGATGGGAGAGGCTGAGGCCACAGCTCCCACAGCAGGCTGGCTCCAGGGAGTTCTCAGTGATGTCCTCCCTGAACCTCCACGTTCGCTGTACGCTCACCATCACCACGCGGCACACTTCCACTCAGCAAGCATTTCTCTCTTTGGTAACTGCTACCTGCACGGACATCATGCAGGTGCACGGGCCTGCTTCAAGACCTGTCTGTCCTCAGGACAAGCCAGGGAAACACCTGCCCCAGACTGAACCTGCAGTGGAGAAAGGTGCTACATGTGACATCATGAGGTCAGTACACAAGGGGACACCACCGCGTGGGAGAGGTTGGGTAAGATGCTGGTCCTGTGGGTGTTTTGGGTGAAGGGCCATGGCGCATGGCGCAGAGGAATCCTGTGTGTGGAGAAAGAACAGTGGGTGTTCACAGTAAGTGATCTGGGTGAGGGGTGTGCAGGTGTTCTTTGTACTGTTATTTTTGCAACTTTCCTATACATTTATTACCAAATTAAAAGTAAAAACCTATAAATTAAAAGTAAAAAACAAACAAACCATTTGAAACAAATCATCTCAGCCTTCCTAACTTACGAACATTGAAGAGTCAGTCCTTACCAGTCTGGGCTGCACTAACTGGGAACTTAAAGTGTATCAGACAGGAGCTGGAAGGGTTTTGCTTGGCAAATCTCTGTTTCAGAGACAGTATCAACAATTTTCAGCAGCAGGTTCACAATCCGTGTAGGAACTGAGCAGACTGCAGCCTCCTGCAGCATGAGGCCACCCTACACCGACAGTTCACGGTACCGTAGCTTCCTCCTTTTCTTATTAGTAATCATGGTCCGCAACGAGGCCAGTGCTAGTTCCTGTTTCCGCTGCAACATGCCACTGAAATGGACTAAAATGAGTTCCTTCAGGATGGCCGGGGCCTCAGTTTACATGCCTTTAGGCCTAACCCTGCCCGTGGCTCGTCCTGCACACTGCAGTGCTGATGGGCTGGTACAGACACGGAAGTGCAGCTGTGATCTGCTGGGAGCTGAGGCCACATCTCACAGAGTGGGAGGCCCAGATGGAAAGTTCCATGTAGGCAACTGCCTGGGCACTGCTTCATTTGTACTCTACAAAGTCTTGGGGGGGGGGGGGGGGGGGGAAGAGGACTTTGAGTTTCCACTTTTAAAGGCTAAAGATAGATTGACAAATGCCATCAAACACAGGAGGGAGGTGTCACTCTACCCATGAGTGAGACCCCAAAGCCCTGTTTCTGGTCTGCGCCCCTTGAAGGTAACAACCTCGAGAGCAAGTGTCCTACTGCACTGAAGGTGGGGTCAAGCAAACAGTGCCAGGGCGGGGCCACCTTCAAGAAAGGCACAGGGAGAAAGAGGCAGGGCCCTGCAGCCGGGACTTAACCAGGGGTCCCTCCTGTGGCCCTGGTTACCCCAGAGGTGGCCTTTGCCTAGCACAGCCTCACTGGTCTGAGACTCCATGCGGCCATCAGGACAGCTACAGTCTGGACTGTCTGTCCTCCGATCCCTTCACTGAGTTGAAAATGTTCTAGAACACACCCTCATGAGTGCCAAATCCCCTTATGTTCACATTTAGACAGCTGGGGTGTATCTGCACAGAAGTCACCACGCAGGGAGGACCAGACCCAGCTCCCTTATGCCCTCTCCTATCTCCATGGCCCCTCAGAGCCCTAGCCAGTGGCACCCATTCCCCTGGAGCCCCCACCCTGTGGAACGATTGCTTCCTTCTCCCTGGCTGTCAAGCGCTCTGGGCCAGGGCTGCGGCTTTTTCTATTTTAAGCAAGTTTCTGTGCACAACTCTCTGTAGATGGAAACAATCAGACGGGAGAGGAGCTGTCAGATGGCCGGCTGCCTGCCACAACAGGTGCGAGTTACTTAAATTGTATCGTCATTTAGGAGGGAGATGCTCCCCCCTACCCTTTCTCTCTGGCAGCATCCCTGCGACTTCCAGTAGAACAGGTGCACATGGAGGCCGAGCCATCAGGCGATCGGCACCTGGCAGAGGCAGTAGTCATGGATCCTGCTGCTGTGCCACTAGCATCTGATGGATCCACAAATCCACACTGTTCCTCTCTGTTGGGGACCTCCTGATGAGCAGTGTCCCTGGAACCCACAGCCTGGCCTGAATTCTCCGCTGGCCATTCCTGACCTGGCACACAGGCTAAGCATCCATGGGGGAGGCAGTCATCAAATGCAGGAAGGGCTGGTGACCAGGGGATAAGCGGGAGTCCACGAGGAGGCGGCGGTATTGGGAGGCAGTGCAGGGCACAGGCTGAGAGCCAGAAAAGGACCCCATGGTATGGGTGTGGCTGACGCCTTGGACCAGCAGGGCAGAGGCAAGAGCTCTGGCAGAGGGTGGTCAGGGAGTGACAGCAATGGCTTGGACCCTCAGGGTGGCAGTGGAGGAGCAAGACTGTGTCTAGATGTTATCACATCTGGGAACAGAGGCTGAGAGAGTGAGAACCTGGTGAGGGCCCAGGTAAGAGGTGTTCTTGGGTAAACAGAATGCCTACTTTTTGACATCATTCTAAAATTTCTGTAAATTATACTTTAAAGCATCCAAATTCCACCTATTTGCACCCACAAAAACATTCAACAACAATCTCCTCAGTCCTCCCATTTCAGATGTGGAAACTGGGGCCCATAGAGCATGGCCTGCACCCAGCCCCTCCCGGCACATGAGGTGCAGAGGGGGACTGACCAGCCCAGCAGGGCTCATGAAGGAGGATAAGCTGGAATAAGGACTCACTACTGTCATCTTTTGAAACCTCTGAGTAACAGAAATAATCACAGGTGATGTCCAGTATGGAAATCCGCTGTAGAGAAAATAATTTCCTTTCTTCTTCTTTTTTTGGGTGGGGTTAATCCTCACCTGAGGATATTTTTCCATTGATTTTTTTAGAGAGAGTGGGAGGGAGGGGGAGAGACAGAGACAGAAACATTGAGTGAGATACATCAATTGTTTGCCTCATGCACATGCCCCAACTGGTGCTGGGAATCGAGCCTACAGCCAAGGTAACGTGCCTTAACCAGAATCAAACCTGTGACCCTTCAGTCCGAGGGCCAAAGCTCTATCCACTGAGCCAAACTAGCCAGGATGAACATCATTTCCCTTGAAATAAACATTCCACTTCCCACTAATCCTGAACTTTTCTGTGACTCCCCTTCACTTATGACCAGCACATCTGTAGCTATTAAAATCTTCACTGAAATAAGACAATGGACAGTGTTTCTGCTTCACTCTTGTGAGTTTTAGAATCACATAGAAACTAAGAGAGCACCACCAGTGACTTCAGTAGAAATGGGTAACCTTAGTTCAAAGGGTCCTGTGGACCTGCCCAAAGAGCCTTAGCGAGGCTCCTGGCGTGGCCACACCTGCTCCGGAAGTGTGTGTTGGCGTCACTCTGAGTAGGCACCAGGGTCCTGCCAGCATAGAATTTTTAACCAGATCCCACCTACAGTGACTTCTGTTTTAACTTGAGTTGTCCTTAGCCAACGCGGTCGTGACCACCTCAAAGTAACACCAGTGCATGGAGCCCAGGGAGAAGCCAAGCAGAGCACTGGAGACCGGGGCACAGCTGGGCCTTGGCTGCCCGCTCACTGTCCACAGTGGCACCCTTGGTAAATACCAGGCAGCATCCCCACCATCCAGGAGGGCCAACCCCAAGCAGTGGGGATTCCACCTCCAAAGCACAGAGACCCAAACCCCTGTGACTGGCCAGCTGGGTGGTCATGACTGTGCAACGCTCATGTGCCACCACGGAAAACAGAGGGGCTCACCCTGGTGTCCTTCTCGTTTCCTTCTGCGTGGAGGATGTAGGGGCAGCCCTCCTTCTGTGGGTTTTCTGAGACAATTCGTACCTCAACGCCTGGCAGCGGGGTCCCCACAGAACCTGCAAGGAGAGGAGAAATATGAGAGAAAGAAGATGGAGTCAGAGGGATTCCAAAGGAGAGGGCTATACACCTGTCGCTCTCAGATCCTGCCTGGACATCACTCAGAGAGAAGGTCATGCAGCGGGCGCCCACCCTGCCGCAGCAGCAGCCAGTGCTCAGTGCTCGCAGTTGCCAACAGTGTGCAAGGCGAGACTCTGAATGCTCCAGAGCAGCGGTCACCAACCGGTGGTCTGCGGACCACTGGCGGTCTGTGAGGTCCGAAAGGTTGGCGACCGCTGCGCCAGAGCCTTCAGTTCATCCTAGGAAGGCCCCCTGCACCCAGTCGGGATGTAGGCACAGTTTCTACTTGTACTTGGCTGAGCAGTAAGGGCACTGAAGTGCACCTGTCCAGGAAAGGTCCCAAGAGGCACTGATGCTGAAAGTTGGGTGGTGAGCAAGGATCCTCATGGCAGTGGGATAATATCGCTGGCATTCTGGTTTACTCTTAGGCACCCATGGTTTGATTAGTGTCTTCATACCACTCAAAGGCCCCAGCATAGTGGGCCAGCTTACAATCAAACTTCAAACCTACAAAGGTAAGGCAGGTGGCTTGAATGTGTCCCACAGCTACTGTAATAAATGACTAAGGCATAACCAAGGTTCCAAGACCAAACACCCAGCATCTATGCAAATTCACTTCAAGGTTTTAAGGCCTTTATTATAACCGCTGAAATCAATGAGGATTTCTCAGGGGATAAATGTCCCCAGAAGTGAGGTCAGCAAACTCTGCAATTTGTTTCATGTCCTGGATCCAAACTCTTCACAAGGTCGGCTGTGTCAGTCTTCTGTAAAACAGCACCGTCCTATCCTTCTTGGCCTGTCTCCTGCACCTGAGGTTCAGGGGCGAGGCCTGGGCCCTATGGCTATGGTGAGCTCTCCATGTTCGGGAGGACTTTTTCCTCAACTCTGGTCAGTATCCTGTACCAGGTCCCAGCTGGAAGCAGACAGACCAGCATCCTCCCACCGCCCTGCTTTTTTTTGGTTTCCAAAGATTTTTCAAATTAAAGTGAAATCCATATAAGATACAATTGATCATTATAGAGTGGCATTTCAGTGGCATTTAGCAATCATCATCACCATCTAGTTCCAGGTATTGTCACCACTCCAGAAGCCTGTGTCCATCAGCAATCACTTCCCACCTCTAGCTCCTTACCCCCAGTAACCACTAGTCCACTTTCTGTCTCTATGAATTTGCCTACTCTGGAAATCCTATATAATAAAGAGCTAATATGCTGATTAGACCAGACGACAGACCTTCTGGAACAACCAGTGGGTGGGGGGACAGGGCCACAGGCCCACGAGGGCCTCTAGTTTCATATAAAAGAAATCGTATGACATGTGCCCTCCTATCTCTTTGTAGTTGTACATATACTTGGAGTCTGTGGTTATACAGGCATTAAGGACATTCAGGACTCAAGAGAGCCTAGAAGCATGGACATTTCATCTCCAGTGTAGAGATAAGACATCGGGACCAGAGGCAAGGACTAGCTTGTGAATGTGGAGGTGGGTCCAAACCCAGCTCGCTCTGACGTCACAAGCTATGCTTCTCCTGCTGATGGCTCAGCCTGGCCCTGGGCGCAGTCAAGACCAGCTGCCATTCTGCACACTCTAAATTTGGTTTCCAGTTGACTCCAAGGTCATTATCTTTTCTAGATTAAATAATGCCTTTCTTTGTCAATCTCTCGTTTCAGTGACAAGTTTAACTCCTGTCATCTACACTGCTCCTCCCTGGACATCTTGGTTTGAAGAGGACTGACAGACACACCGGCAGAGTGACCAGAGCTCCCAGCAAGGGTCACAGCCCCGACTGCTGGGACACTCACCCGGGGCCGGGAGTCCAAGGTCTCCAGATGCTCCCAGTCACTCGTGTTTCATGGTCAAACTTCAGTAGGCTGACGTTGGTTTTAGCCCTTAGTGACTAGAGTGTTGGTCATAATTTACGATTAGTGTTTGTGTAAAAGCCATAGAACAAAGGGTTCAAGGGCAGATAATATGCAGAAATTGGGCAGATAATATGCAGAAGACAAAGGCCGCGTGTGAGAGGCAGGGCTGAGGCCACACAGGAGGACACTCAGGCCATGCTGACCCCGTGCCCCCGGCACTGCCACCGGCTGTATGGAGCTGACAATGCTCTTGAATCTGTATCAATAAGATCTTTCTTGCTGCTTGAGCAAGGGTGATACAGTGCTGGGCAGGGTGATTAGCCCGAATACGAAGAAAACATCAGATACTGGAAAATGATTGATTGCCCTCTGAGACTGGTCAGATATGATTTCTACAAGTACCTGCCAGAGATAAAGAGTTCCATAAACACACCTTAAGGAGTCAGGCAGAATGTGGTTATTTCATCAGGAGGCATTTCGTTAACTTAAGTGCAGAATCTGAAGCAGGACCAACTGCCTCACTCCGAAATGAAAGCCTGCTTCTCACCCTCTTCCGAGGAGCCTGTCTGAGCAGCAGTGGACACTGGCTCAGCCTGAGTGCGCTCAGACAGCGACGCCTCCTCAGTTGTACGGTGGGAGCTCATCTCCCCAGAAGGAAGGAAGCAGGGGATCCATATAGTCCCTGAGACCTGAGAGATGTGTGTGGCCAAGGGAGTCCTCCTGGGTCTTCCCAGGACAGGGGAGGTGTGTGCCACCTCAGCCACGCCCGACCATCTGCAGTAGCTGTTGGGGGCACATGTGGAGAAGGTTAAGGGCTCAGTCCCACAACTGTTAGTGGGTTACTTCAGTGACTGCTAGTCATAAGTGGTGTGACCCACAGCGTCTGTCCAACTTGGCTACAAATTAGAGGTTTCCACAACCTCCTCCTGGGTTCAATCATTTGCTAGGGCGGCTCATAGAACCCTGGGAAACAGTTTACTTACTAAAAGACCAGTTTGTTATAAAGCCTACAACCTCTGAATGGCCAGATGGAAGAGAGGCCTAGGGCAGGTATGGGGAAGGGGCGTGAGCTTCCCGGCTTTCCAGGTGCTTAGCATAGTAATCCCCAGGTCTATCCAAGCTGTCACAAAAGTTACGAGATCTTCTTTCTGCATCCGCAGCCGCCATGGCTCCGTGGAAAAGCTCGTGGTGAAGTGGGGCAAAAAAAGAAGCAGGTTCTGAAGTTCACCCTTCACTGCACCCACCCATAAAGGTGGAATCATGGACTCTGCCAACTTTGAGCAGTTTCTTCAGGAGAGAATCCAAGTGAATGGAAAAGCTGGGAATCTCGGCAGAGGGGTTGTAACCATTGAAAGAAGCAAGAGTAAGATCACTGTAACGTCTGAGGTGCCTTTTTCCAAAAGATATTTGAAACATTGCACCAAAAAATATTTGAAGAAGAATAACCTACGTGACTGGTTGTGCGTAGTTGCTAACAGCAAAGAGAGTTACAAATTGCTTTACTTCCAGATAAACCAGGATGAAGAAGAGGAGGAAGATGAGGGTTAAAGCTCATTTATCTGACAAATTTTGTATGAGCTCTTGAATAGAACTTGGGAACCAAAAAAAAAAGAAAAAAAAGAGAGAGATCTTGCTTTTTCACAGCCACACTAGAGGCCCGGTGCACAAAATTTGTGCATGGATTGGGTCCCTAGGCCTGGCTGGCAATCAGGGCTGATCGGGGCTTTCTGGCTGCCAGCCAGGGCCTCCCTTCCCCAGCTGAAGGCCGGGGCCTTACTTCATTCTGCGCCGCCCCCTGGTGGTTAGCACGTCATAGCGAGCAATCGGTCTCCTGGTTGAACTCCCACAGGGACAATTCGCATATTAGGCTTTTATATATAGAGATAGTATTCCATTGTGTAAATGTACCACAGCTTTTCTATCCACTCATCTATTGATGGGTACTTGGGCTGTTTCCAGATCTTAGCTATTGTAAACAACACTGTTACGAACATAGGAGTGCATTTATTCTTTCTGATAAGTGTGTTTCAGGATTCCTAGAAGTGAGATGGCTGGGTCAAATGGCAGTTCCATTTTTAATTTTTTGAGAAAATAACCTACTGTTTTGCACAGTGGCTACACCAGTCTGCATTCCCACCAGCAGTATACTAGGGTTCCCTTTTCTCTACATCCTTGCCAGCACTTGTTGTTTGTTGACTTATTGATGGTAGCCATTCTGACAGGTGTGAGGTGATACCTCATTGTAGTTTTAATTTACATTTCTCTGATGATTAGTGATGCTGAGCATTTTTAAAAAATATATTTTTATTGATTTCAGAGAGGATGGGAGAGGGAGAGACATCAATAATAAGAGAGAATAATTGACCAGCTGCCTCCTGCATGCCCCACATTAGGGATCGAGCCTGGAACCCGGGCATAAGCTCTGACTGAGAATTGAACTGTGACTTCCTAGTTCATAAATCAATGCTCAACCACTGAGCCATGCTGGCCAGGCATTTTTTCATGTCTATTGTCTAGTTTGGAGAAGTGTCTATTCAGGTCCTCCGCCCATTTTTAATTTGGTTGTTTGTTTTCCTGGTGTTGAGTTGTATGAGTTCCTTATATATTTTGGAAATTAATCCCTTATCAGAGATATCACTGGCAAATATGTTCCTCTATACTATATATTGGGTTCCCTTTTCTTTTTGTTGATTTTTTTTTTTTTTTTGCTGTGCTGAAGCTTTTTAGTTTGAAATGTTTATTTTTCCCTTTGTTTCTCTTGCCCTAGGAGATGTATTGATTTAAATACTACTATGTGAGATGTCTGAGATTTTATGGGCCTATATTTTCTTTTAAGATTTTTATGGTTTTGCGACTTACATTTAATTCTTTTATCCTTTTTGAGTTTATTCTTGTGAGTGGTGTAAGTTGATAGTGTAGTTTCATTTTTTTGCATTATCTGTCCAATTTTCCCAAAACCATTTATGGAACAGACTGTCTTTACTCCATTGTATGCTCTTGCCTCCTTTGTTAAATATTTATTGACCATAATGGTGTGAGTTGATTTCTGGGGTCTCTGTTCTGTTCCATTGGTCTAC